GGGGGCAGCATCACAAAAAGATGACTCCACCCTTCAAGCGTTTCTGCTCACACTATGTCTCTCATTCTCTGTGGCATCCGTTGGCGATGAAAAAAAAAAAAGGGGGACTCAGCAGTGAGAGGACAAGCTTATAGGATGTCCAGAAAAGTCCAGGACACAAGAAGTAGCGGTACTTCCTCTTTGGGACCAAAGCCAAAAGCTGTGGTACGGACATCAACTATCTCTTATCTGGGGGGAAAGAAATTAGGCGTGGGATCAGAAAAGGACGGATACAGGAAGAGATCCACATATAAAGATGTATTCATTCACATGTTGCCACTGAGCACAAAGTGAAATACCTTTGTTTCCATCCATGTCTGCTGCTGACCTCTCTGGCCGTTGGCGTATTACATTATTGTACTTGGCCTCAACGTCCTGGAAGAGAAACCACTCACAGTGAGATCAGGCAATTCAAATCACCACAATGTATCAGCAAAGTGGATTTATAGGATCATGTGCTGGTGAGCCAGTGACTGTTAAATACCTTCAGATAATTGAGGTTGGCCTGAAGGTTTCTAAGGTGAGACAAGACCTGTCTGCTGAAAGAGGAGAGGCTGCCGGCCTGTGACGCTGAAGAAAACCTCAGGTTGATGCCCGAGTCGGCGGCGCAGCCCTGTGAGGATCTCAGCTGCTTCCCTGTGTTTGATGCCAGGATGTCATCGTCTGTGCTGCTCTCCCCTGGGCCGCCGTACCCCTCCAGGACTAAATACCCTGCTGAGAGATTTCAAAGAAGCCTTTTATTACTAATGCTGTAAAAAAAAAAAATGGAGGATCAGGGAAAGAGAAAGAGCACTGAGAAAGCTGCACCTCACAATGACTAAAGGTGGATTTAAAGGTGCGTTCAAAACAAACGTGCTTGGTTTGTTCAATGGCAGTACCGTACAGGGATACAACCATACACTGTATATATGGATACAACACACTACAGACTCTCTTGCAGAATGATTGCATCAGCTGGGACGCCATATTGACAATCTGGCAATAATGCACATTCTATGTACAATTTAACAATAATGTACATTCTATATAAAATGTTGCACTAATGTACATTCTTAAATATTGAAGTGACTGTTATTTTGTATATATTGATTTTTTTATTTTTTGTATTAAGGTCTTAATGTGTGCACATGTAAAAATGTGTCTTTCATTCTGTGTATATATATATATATACATATTTGCACACATATTTGTATATACATTTGTTTTAATATTCGGGATAGTGGGAAACGGTACTTCGATCTCTGTCTGTACACACAAACTGGAAGATTGACTTTGATATTGGGCCATTGGGATTAAGTGTTAGCCAAACCCTAGGACTACAGGTTTAAAAAAATGCACATGTTACTTTACTCCTGCTTTTTGTTTGGCTATATTTGCACCAATAATGTGAGGTGAGGATCCAGGGTATATGCAGGAATCCTGAAGTCAAATGTAATCCCTTTTAAGACCTTTTTTAAGAGCCTTTCCATCGGTTTTAAGACCTCATCGCCACTCTGAGTTTTAACCTGTTACATTGGAGACACACCTAACCTCACATTTACTACAGTATTGAATGTCCTTCCTCCTTATCTTCCAACCATTTGGACGCAGACTTGCATTTCCCCATAACGATGTTTAACAACCGGCGTAAACAAACCTTCGGGCGCTATCAAGCAGTGAGCGTGCGATGTCCTGTTCAGATGACGTCAAATCCAACGGGATGCCATAAATAAACTACACAGAATCACACTACACACCTACGCAATGATTACATTCAGGCAGACTGTAGAATACAACCTCTTTGGACAATTTATATACTTATTGAAAACAAGCTACAACATGTAAAACCTTGGAAAATGCCGTTTAATACTTTACCATATTTTGTTAATAGCCTTAATTTTCTCTAAATTGATTTATCAACTTTTAAGACTTTTTAAGACCCCGCGGACACCCCGGAATCTGCTTCTTTAGTCCATTTAAACCTAGAGCGTACGGATAAGGACAAATCATTTGTTCCCGCTGTCCAGGCTCACCATAATCTTCAGGAGAATCAAAGAAGCCCGTGTCTCCAGAGCCCAGGTCCTGAGCGGGGTCCTCTGTCTGGGAGCTGTTCTTTTCTGAGCCGTTGTGGACCATCACCCGCGCTCGGCTGTCCACGGGGGTCCGCAGCGAGGTGGTCCTGAGGAGACGAGCCCCCGTGGAGCGTTTGGTTTGCTCCAAGGCCTCCTGGGACATCAGCTGGGTAACCAACACCTGCTTTAATGCTGCCACTGCGGCAGGTGAGGACAGAGGTTTATGATTTTCATTTTTTAAATAACTTACAATATCATTTTATTTTGACTGACTGTGTGCTTACATGTTTTCAGTGCTTCGTCTGCTCTGGAGGGAAACATGTTAAACGAGTCTCCTTCTTTGACATTTGCAGCCAATCGGTAAGGAAGCTCTGGGTCCACAAAACCTTCCTCCTCCTCTTCTTCCTCTGCCTTTACTCCCTCAAATGGATTATTACCTGGTAGAGAACTCGTCACGCTTCTCGGGGCTGGACTGCTCTCTTTATCTGAGGGGGTTTAATAGGAGAAGGATTATCTACACAGTTGAGTAGAGTGGAATATTTAAAGTAATGCAGAGGGAGAGACATGTTTCCGCAGCTACCTGTGGACTGGGTGCTGCCGGTGGACGTGCGGTCTGCATCTCGACTCAGCCTGGAAACCCCCGCTGTGATGATCTCCACTCCATCCCTCTCCCCACTGGAACACAACAACATCTTATGTAACAAACAAGCTTGGATCCTGCGTATCATCTGATCAAATTACAAAGACAACATACTCAGTCTGAGGTAATGGTATGACGCTGTGAGGTTTGACTTTCATGGCATCAGCTCTCTGGGTGATTAGACGCTGCCACCTTGTTCAAGGGGAAAAGAATAGAGTTATTAGCCCATTTAACCACCGGAGCAGTACAACTATAAGTGATCAATCTAAAAGGTACTCATGCTTACGTTTTCTGATCTGAGACTGTGGGCGCCATCAGCTCATAGATCTGGGCTCCGTTTTCTGACATGGACAGGACGAAGAAGGACTTGTGGTCTGGCAACAAAGAGTGTGGATAAAACTTTCTTTAAACCATGTTTACAAAGTACAATAAACCCAAAGAGAGCAACAGTAAAAGGAAATACAGGAGGAAAACAAACACAAATCAGCAAACTAATTAAGAGAGGTACAATTAGCAACTTGCATAGTGCATAGGGAGTGATTCACATACAATCGTTATTTTGAAAGGGATATAATAGATGTATCTCATTTTGCCTAAGCCTAATATCCTCAGGCAGTTTGTTCGACAGTAATATATGCCCAAAAATAATTGGATGTTGTATAGTGAGGGGTTATTGATAGTTTTTTCTGATCAGTGCATATCAACTAATTGTTTTGCCAATTTTTAAGTTGTAAAACCGAAAGTAGGCTGGTGTGAACTGACCTGTTGCCACAGAGCGCACCAGCACAGTGTTGAGTTTGATGATGGGGCTGAAGATGTGTTTGGTGTCTGCCGTGCCGGCCAGGTTTTTACTGTGACACTTCAGGATCAGCCGCTCATCTTGTTTCTGTAGCAGGACCAGAATGTCCTGCAGGAGGAGCGTGTACAACTCTGAAAGGAAACACAGAGGATACTTGAATTTAATATTTGGCAGAAGTGTCTAAATTAAAGTAAATTAATCTCTTATAATGTGCGGATTACAAACCGATAGTTTTGTCCTTGTTCACTTTCCATGAAAGCGGTCCCTCATGCACCATGGTTCTCTTGGTTAAATCCAAATTCTGAAGAGGGTAGGACGATAAAGAGTTAAGCTTATCCATGAGGCCATTTCCACATTGCACTCTCTTTGTACCAAGCGTATGTTTCAAACAGCGAGCGTGGGCGTACACCAAGTGAGTGTGCTTAAACTGAAGCTGAGAGGGTCCTGTATATAACTCACCTTTAGCTCAAGGATCATGGGGTTGTCTGTCTGCTTCAGAGAGGAGAGGTCCAATCTTCTCTGATAGTCCTCCAACCTCTAGAGGACAGACGGAGAGAAATAGGAAAGAGGATAAGAAAGCGCTCCTTAAAAAAAGGGAGCCACTGCCTGGGGAGCAGTAAAAAAATAAATTGTGGTGGAGAGGGAAAAAAAGGGAGGACTTAGGATGAGACTGAAGGGGGAGGAAGAGAAAAGTCGAGGGCCTGGTGTGAAAGGGAAAGGAGATTTAAAAAAACATCCTACCTGCTTGTCCTCAGATTCCTTCACAGCCTGGTTGACGTGATTGAGGATCTTTCTGCAGCAGTCTGCCGCCTGCTTCACTTTGTCCTTCTCCACTGTGTTGTCTGAATGACATTCAAAAAAGAGGTAAGGCCTCAGTTCTGTGGGGGGCTGTCCGGCAAATTGATATTTCCTCTGTCCATTAACACACCATTGTTCCCAAGAAATATGATAAAGCAGGGGGAATTAAGATCCCATAATAGCTGGTTATAGATTATCATTAGTGCATTCTCTCCGTGTGAGAACTAAACCCGGCCAAGACTAAAATGATGGACCAAATAATGGGTTACATTCCCGAAACGCGCACTGCTCGAGGACCATTAAAATGCAAATCTTGCCAATTGTCTCTGTATTTCACTAATAGCTGGCACGTTGCCACAAAGACTCAACACTTCATTTTTATTCATTTTCTTCCATCTCAAAAGTTCAAATTGTATCTTTTGCTTTTTATAGCAATCAGAATAGGAAAGGCAAACTAGGTGTTATTCCATTATTACCCGTTTCCGTGGTTACTCCAAGATGAGTCAACTAGTTTCCATATTGAAAGCATTGACTCACAGAATGTAATTGACTTTAGGATCACAGAAAAAAGAGCTGGAAGAAATAATAGAAATCTTCCCATGCAGGCGGGTTGCAGCAGTGCAGACAAAGTCTAAAACACTAGGCAATAGAAGAAGGAATGGAGAGAATAATAATAGTGGTTTGCAATTGCGAAAAAGTAGAACACAATTTCTCTCCTTGTGACAGGTTCAGTAATTGACTACGTATTTGTGACTGAGTGGAACGGACTTTGAAGTTTTTGAAAAGTGGTTTGTATGAATGCACACACTCCTCCTGCAGGCATGATGACGCCAGTAAGGCTTCATGCGCTTCATGAGCCAGAATAAGGGTCTTATCTGGCAGGTGCTACACTGAGTCCACTTATATCAGGGGTGCCCAATACGTCGATCGCGAGGTGTGGGTAGGTTGCATGGCATTGAAAAAGAAAAAGAAAAAAGGGCAGCCCCCCCCCCCCGACACAGATTGGGCAGGGGCGGCCCTGTATGTAGATCATTTGGGCTTGGTCATTTTAAAAGTAACTCCCAAGCTGAATAAGTGTGGGAACCCCTGATTTATAGTCTATAATGAAGCTGCAGACTTAGTCCAACGTCAGAAAATTAAATAACAATTACGTAATTGTTTAGGCATCAATTCACTGCTTCCGACTTGTGAATATTTAACTGTTTTTCCACTCTTCAGGGAGTCATTTAAACATTGGACCCTGGGAACTTATAATGAGAAATGTTATTCTACACCAAACAATAAATCAAGAAAAGAATCGGTAAACTTAAAAATAATAATCGTGAAAAGAAACCAATCCTACCATTACTTAAAATGCTACATTTCCCAATGCCATATTTTTGGTTTATTCAAGAGTTGTGTTTTTAATCCCTGTTACATCAAAGACAGTCCGACACAGTTTGAATGTGGATTCGATAGTGCATAATAATCGTCACTGCAAGCTGTTGTGAAGGAACTCTGATTAGTAAGGCAACATTTCAGCACCTGTGTACTTGGCGATGTTTTCTAGCAGCAGGGGGTACTTGGTGAGCCGCTGCATCTCCACAGGAATGATGTCTTTAAGCTGCAGTCGGCGACACTGTCTGTTACTCTCTGCCTCCTGCAAAGCAACAATACAAATAAAAAAGAGTTTATGTGAAGTTCAGCTGTCACTTAACAAGATATATCGTTTAACAAGTATACATGGAGAACACGTAAATGTAGCAACAATTTTGAAAGCCTGTAGTTGGTACCTGGACGAAGGAAGTAAAGCGCGAGTCCTTCTTCTGCTTGGTTTTGATGATTTCCAGAGCAAAAGGCTGGTTGCTGCAGAACGTCCCCACCGCCTTCTTGATCTTCTCCTCCTCTCCCCCGCCGAACTGTGACAACCCAACACAAGACGGCACAGGCCAGAGAAGTGATCAGTCGATGTGGGTAAGGGTTAGTTGTCATGGAAATGTCTAGTATTTAACCAGTACAATGAGAAGAAACTCCCAGAAGGGGGCCAGGCTTACGACCTCGTAGCAGAGACAGCTTAAGTTTGAATGTAGACTAGATCATTGCTCGGACCCTCAGGGGACCGTTTAACCTACTTATCCCCCATAGAGAGATTTTAGACAAGGCTGGCAGCTGATATGCAGGAACTCACATCTAAATGCATCACACATGATATAGAGATGTCAGCCAAATCTGGGGCATGCTCTGACATTACCATTTACTGAGAAACAGGCTTCAATTTCACTCGCTTGCTTCCGCTGTCATTACTCTGCAGTGTTTTTTTGCAGCATGTCTAAGGTCTTGTCTTTTGGTATAAGATTTATAGTATTTTATGCTAACTCCTTCTCTAGTATATATAAACTGTACATAAATATTTTTAGGTGCACATGACATTTTCTTTAAGCGACCACAATTTAGGCTGAAGAAAGCAATCTATTACCACTCATGTTTTCTTTCTTGCTATGAAGCAATTTTGGGCACCAGTTCAATTTCTTTGTGCAAAATGTATTTTTTCACACCACATAAGTCATCTTGAAAATGTATTCAATATAAGAAAATGTTTGAAAGGGGAAATACAATTTCAGCCAGAGAATTGTACTCACCCAGGAGAGCAAGTCGTCTCCTATCTGATCAATTACCGAAGACTCATTTCTCTTCCGAACAGCTGTCATTTGCTCCAGTATTGAAGCTGAAATTCAAAGGAAAGCACCAAATTGACAGTCACTGCGTGTTTGTGAGTCTGCATGTGTGTATATAAGATAACAAAGATGAAGAATACAACATGAAATCGTGAGTACTGTGTGAAATGCTGCCTGTTTGTTTTAAAAGTCATATTTATGTTCATATTAAAGGCCTATATTCTTTGATAGATGTCAGGGTGTGTGTGTACCATGCAGCTGTAGAATCTCGTCCAGGTTAGTGAAGATGTTCTTGATGTCTGCAGGAGGCAGGATGGCCTCTTTGGAGAGCTTCTGGTAGAAAACATGGTCCAAAACTCTCAGCATCCTCACATGCGCACGCTCTGTATAGAACAGCTCTGTAGACACAAGGCAAGATGTTAATCCAAGATGGCAGAGCATTTGCACGGCTCCACATGATGAACTATTTGAAAGCAACTTGGGTCTGATCCCAACAGCTGCCCCCCGCTGGATATCTCTGTCTCCTCCCTTTTACTCATTGTGTATCCTTTGAGAATATATTTGGCTTTAATGAATTGTCAAACAATGTGAAGAGCTAAGCCATGTCCTCACCATTGATGACTTCCTGTCTCTTGATTTCTTGAGGCCTGAGACCTGCTAGGACCTCTCGCCCCACCAGCTGCTGCCAGTTGGGAGGGTCGTGCTCCGAGTCCGTTCCCTGGTCGTCCTCGCTCTGAACGTCAGCTGCAAGCAGTCCCTCAAGCCTAGGGCAAGACGGAAAGTCAGCTTTTCATCTGGCTTCTAAAATACCACCACTCCTTATTTTATTAGATATTCATTTTCAAATAGACAGGTGTCCTCACCTTCTTATGGCCTTTGGTGTTCCCTCATGGGCCCTACAACAAATATTAACGGTAAAATCAATGTTAAACATAAATATATTCAATGTAAGGAAGCAGAGGTGTTAGTGTAAATGAGCCTGTAAATGCACCTGTCGCTTTCTCTGTCATCCTCTTGCAGCGGGTCATGGCTGTAAAGGTCAAAGTGCGAGGCAGGGTGCGCCAGCCCATCAAGAGGGTCCGTCTGAAGGCCGTCACTCAGCCTGGAGGGGCCTGAGGTCGGAGTCCCGCCTGAGAAATAAGTAACAAGTTAGAAACCATCACTTCCTGACTGTTTATTTTATTCGGTTCAACTGTTCAGTAGCTCACCCATATCAGCGTCTCTGCTCGTGTCTGAGCTGTAGGTGGCGCTGTTTGGGGACGAGGTGTTGACAGACATTGAGTATGTGAGTTCAGAACCTTCACTCGATTGGCTGCCTCGCAGACGGCCAGCTTCCGTGTGATCAGCTGCCCCAAATGAAGGCTGAGATAACTGTTTCTGCGGCCGGGGGCGACATTCCAACGCTTTTCCCACTGAAAAAGAGAAAGGCGGAATCACATTTGATAAAGATTTTTAAATCGTATCATCGTTTCTATTCAATTCCTTAAAAGTCCTAACTCACCTGATGTTGTTTCAACACGGCTGGGCCGACGCTGAGGTCCAAGGATACTGGGAAATCTGGGTTTCTTCACCTTCTCTTCTCCCTCCTTCTCTGTCTTGATGCTTTTCTGTGTTTTATTAAAACAAGGGAAGTTTCAGGTAGATGACAAAGAGCTGGATAGAGAAAGGCAGAGGCGTATTGTGACGTTATATTACCTTGATCTTGGGAAGAAAGTTGATCCTGACCCGTTTGGACTCCAGACTGCGAGGTTCCTTGACCCTCACACCAAGGAGCTTCATGTATGTATAGATGACATACTGCATTGTAGTGCTAAATGGAAAACAAAAGTGACAACACTTGAGTTTAGTTGCTACAATTTCAATACCAACCGACAAAACAACAGGATGCAGAAATTCGAAGTGTCCATATTGTGACTTGCACCATATGTCATGCCAGTCCTTCTCGTCGGTTTTCTACACAAACCATCTGGGTTTTTCTGTGACCATATGGTGTTTCAAACAAGAATGTTCAATCAGTTACACTTTTCAATTATTTAATACAAACACACTGCATAAATTACATGTTTTTTTAAGAGACTGCCTCAGTGTTTAATTTGTAAACTGTAGGGAATGTAGAATGTGGCCTGGATGATACCAATATGTTGTGTGTGCTTGGCGGGAACATCAAAGGCTTTACTTGAAAAATGACTTCCATTGACATATATTATTCATTTAACACAAGATGTTTTAAATAATACATTCAAAGAAGTCTAATGAACTAATAAATAAGTTATTTAAGGCACATTACAGACTGTAAATGCAATGACAACACAGATAGTTTGAAGGGCCATGAAAGCCCCTGAAGTCCTGAGTGATCCCCATCATATGCTTTGAGTTATTATCTCCATATGAATAAACAAAATGCTCCACAATATAGGTGTACTTACCATCTCTCCTCCTCTGTTGTGTGAGTAGTTAACCTATAAACAATACACAGAAGAAAAGTCTTAATGGCTGAAAATGGTTAAAAACATGAAATATGTGTTAACACTTATCACAGCACAAGTCTATATGTGTGTTATGAAACTGTGTGTCATGCTACTTACAGGATATCCTCTATCTTGGTGATGATGTTCTCTGCGTATGAACGCTCTCGCTCCAGAGTGACCCGGTCTCTGACTCCCTCTTGGTCAAGTCGGGACAGCTCCACTTCAGCCACGGTGAGGCCCATACTGCGCTTCTGCCTGCATGTGCCAACACGTGAAATACTGGGGTTAGGTGCATAATCCCCTTTTTAACATTTGCTAAATAATTGAACCACATTCTCTATTGCAGAACCTACCCAGCATAGAAAATAAAAACTTTACCTGAAATCCTCAAGGTTCTTCTGTATTTCAGGGAGCAGAGAGTCCTGCAGCGTTTGAACGTGTTGTCTGTTTATTTCCTCAGGGATCAGTTCTGTCCGCCGCCGGTCTGCAAACACACACACACACACACAAACTAAACTATACTGTACTGCCAAGTCTAAAAGGGATTATTTCAAGTGCACACTTAATATGCGCCGCTAAGGTTAAGCAATAGTTTCCAAACCATCAGAGCATTTGATTTCTTAACACCTTAGTTGGGAGAGTGCATGGCTCACAGGACTGTGTAATGAGGATGGCCTCAGATGTACAAAAGGTAAACTAGGTACATTGCCTATTGAAAATGACAGTGAGCAGACAACCACATGAAGCACAGCATGAAATACTAACCGAGATCCGTAGAGATGGATTCAGGAACAGCGACTTTCAGATTCTGTAAAATAAATAAATAATAATATACTTCAAGAACAAACTGGATTTAATGTCAATGTCAGGAGAGACAATATATCAAAACACTCAAGATCACCTATAAATGTAATTATTAAAAATTAAAACACCCTTTTTGAACCTGTACATTTGGTTTTTGGTTTGTGGTGAAATGCATTTCATGTGTTCTTGCCAAAACATTTATAGATTATGGATAGAGATATATTTCCCTGTGCAGAACAAAGAGTGTACCAGTGTTAGTCAAGTCACCAATTCACAAGTCCAAGTCACTCTCGAGTCCCCACTTTTCGAGTCCGAGTCATCATTACCTGTGTTCGAGTCCGACTCCAAGTTTTAGTCACCCAAGAAGAGTCAGAGTCGAGTCCGAGTTATCATTACCTGTGTTAGAGTCCAAGTCCGAGTCACCCAAGAAGAGTCCAAGTCAAGTTTGAGTCACAGTCTTCATGTATTAATCTTAGTGGATATATTTGTTGAAATGTAGCTATAGCTCCTCTACATTGCTTTTATCCTGTCATGTTATACTAATGTGTCTATTGAACTGCTGTGAGGTAGGGCTGCTCAATTAATCGTATTTTAATCGCAATTACGATTATGGCTTGCAACGATTACGAAAACAACGTAATAGAAATAAAACGATTATTTTTTAATTATAACTTTTGTTTTTTTATTGGTTTTTCAGTTGAATTCTACTCAAAGTTCAGGGTAATCAACTGTTAAAAAAATACTGTTCACATTTTTTTCACAAATATAAAGCTTATTAATAATATTCATATTCATATTATTATTATTTATATTATTGTAAATTACTTTTAATATGTCTAACTATATTTAAAATGAGTTTTTAGAGAAGTGATTATATTTGTATGCTAATATTTTGTTATGGTACATTTTTCGTCTTGCACTTTTATTTTGATAGTTATAATATCGGGACTCTTATTTTGATGGAACTCTTACCGGAAGTCAAAGGACAACGGAGCAGTGTAAACACACATATATAATGACGGATAAATTACGAATAAATTAACATATACTAGATAGTTACATTGGGTTTTTAGCACCTGGCTGATAAGGGCACAAGCTCTTACGTTGGTAATGATTGCATAAAAGCAAGGGTGTGCAATAAACAGATACCATCAGTTGGAGAGTCTGACCATCATTCAGCCGGGACGCTACAATTATTATAGTGAATTTTTTTAATTCTATCAATAAAGATTAAGTCTCAGAAAGCACATGGCTACTTAGCATGCAAAATGATGACATTCTGCATGTTAAGTAGCCATGTACTTTCGTGTTATCGGCAGAATCTTTATTTATTGATTGGATCACGTTACTCTGATGATAGCGTTCAAGACAGCCTATATGTCTGAACTCGATCCTTAGAGTAATGTGTTACGGAGCCTTCTCTTCAATCTTTTTTCCACATAACGAGCATTTTGCGCTGCTCTTTCCCAATGTGGAAGCAGAATGTGTGAAAGCACACAGCACGATGCGGGGTGTGTCTTTAGACATCTTTAGACTGGAATAGCGGGGCCCAGTACGTGAGCTCGCCTCGCAGGTGCAAACGCCAGGATAGAGGACATCAGACTCCAGAGAAAATTAGCCCGAGTCCAAGTCGGAGCGTCAATGTACAACTCGAGTCCGAGTCATCGTGGGGGAGAAAATTCACGAGTTTGAGTCCAAGTCATCGTGCGCGAGAATTCACGAGCCGTGTCAATCAGTGCGCGAGTCCGAGTGGAGTCACGAGTCACGAAAATCGGCACTCAAGTACTCCATCTCTGCCGCATGGTGGCCCAGCTAAATAAAGACCCGCCCCTGCCTGCAAGAAATCTCACCAAGAGTAGAAGCGGCGGGCGGGTCTTTATTTAGCTGGGCCACCATGCGGCAGAGATGGAGTACTTGAGTGCCGATTTTCNGTGTCTGTGTGTGTGTGTGTGTGTGTGTGTGTGTGTGTGTGTGTGTGTGTGTGTGTGTGTGTGTGTGTGTGTGTGTGTGTGTGTGTGTGTCATGATTAAATCCTCATTACACTGCATTATCCCAGTTCACTCTGGCATTACATGCTGTGGATTTTAAACCAATAATCAAAGACATGTTTGATAATGGGACCTACAAATCTACAGCTGCATGTTAAACTCCTTTTGGATTTTTGTAGTTCTACATAATGCAGTGCACTGAGGGTTTTATATGTTCAAAGTTGGGTGGTCTCAAAGCACTCTTGAAGGGCACAAAAAAGCCACTAAGCCTGTTATGCACTCGGGCTCTGAGTTTATTGCAGGGTGAGATCTTCAGGGTTTAGAAACAGACTGGTTTGATATGGGGTGTTTGTCAGCAATCAGGGCAGTTTGATTTGAGATATGACTGAAGCTTCTTTATTCCAACCAAATCGAAAATCCTCTGCGGCACATGGTGGCTTATCTCTGTATGATGCAACGCAACATAGACAAGATGTGCTCTTTCAGTGGTTACACAATATGTGCACTTTTGGCTATGGCTGCTCGATTATGGCAAAAATCATAATCTCGATTATTTGGGTCAATAATTGTAATTGCGATTATTAAATGCGATTATTCATTGACTTTGAAAACATCCATTTATTGGAGAATTCTTTTTTGAACAGTATGTTTTTAACAATTGATTACCCTGAACTTTAAGTATAATTCAACTGAAAAACCCCAAAAATAAATAATAAAAAAATAATCGTTTTTATTTTCGATTACGTTGTTTTCGTAATCGTTGCAAGCCGTAATCGCGATTAAAATACGATTAATTGAGCAGCCCTACTTTTGGCCTGTCTATGTGTAGCCTCGCACTAAAATATGTTTTCCACCTATTTCAATGGTTTTGTCTATGTTTGGACTGATGCAGTTATTACACTGTTCAAGTTTTAAGTAAAACATAGAAGTCTTCATTTAACTGAAACCTAAATCTTTACGTGCTTCCTAGATGATCATTTCTTGTCATGGCCTTTTGCATGCCTGCATGGTGCTACTATCTTTCCCTTCTAGTTTTGTGGACGAACTCTTTCACTGCCTTTTTTTGCAGATTTTCTCCTGAATGCACTGCTCTGTCATCATTTCAAAACGGTTTGAGTTTATTAGGGATGGGCAGGAGTAGTGAGATGCTGCGGAAACTGATGTTTACGCTGACTCTTGAGATTCCCATGTTTACAAAGGAATCATGTGCAGTAATTAGGTTATTTATTACCTTTTTAAAAGGCAATAAATATACTAAAATATCCTTCCTTTTTATTATAAGCTGCAACTTTATTTTGTTTATTTTTTATCATCAGCTCTGTTGACACAACTTGTAATATAACTTTTGTTGTTGTTGACAGACCAGAAAATGTATTGAGTATAACTGCAATTCCACTGTCTTCTTCTTACTTAAAGACATTGCTGTTTGACCATATTGGTGCCCTTAATCAAAGACTCAATTCCATTCATATAATTATAATATGTTCAGATATCAAGGACTGAAAATGTTTATTTTATTTAAAGGTTCTGTTGCAATTTAAAATGTATTCACTCAAACCAATCAAGATCATTATTTTAATGCAGGATACAAAGTTGGATGAAATTGTGGACCCTGTAATTGTAGCCGCAATAGATTGTTAGAGTGACCCCTATAGGAGGGGAGGTATTTAAAAAAATGGTACTTTCAACAAAAAAAAACAAGCTAGTTTATTTCTAGTGTCTGCACTCCTGCCTGTCTAGATCATTATGTTTTTTTAAACTACCTTTTTGTTTGTTTAATTTTTCTTCTCCCATGATTGTTTCTCCCTCATAATTTTCTCTTTCCTGTTTTGTGTTTCCTTTCCTTGTGTTGGTTCTCGTTCTGTTTGTTTGTGTGTATGTGTTTGTTTGCTGCTGTGCTGTCTGCGCTGTGGTCTGCGTGGTGGGGGCTGTGAGCAGAAGCTCTGGTGGTGCAGAAGAGTGGCAGCAGCAGTGTGCTAGCAGAGGGGAAGCCTGAGTCCTGTGGTAAGATGCTCCTGTTGGATTGGCTGCTGTGACAGCTGCATCTAAACATGCTTCAGATCCTGCTGTGAAATTGCCACTAGATGTTTTGTTTAAATCACAGTGAAATATAAGTAGTTGCTTTTATTTCATATATGTCTATTCATTATAATACTTAAGTGCATGCTCAAAGGTCTGTCTTGCATGGTCCTCTAAGTTGGTCACAAAATTAGTGATGAGAGATCATCTTAACGGATAGATACATATATTGATATAAAGATGAGTCACCTGCTTGATGCAACAGTTCAACTTGTGCTGAAGGAAACGGGGCAATACACCGTTTATCATGGAGTAATCTACCAGACTGTTTCTGGAAACTGACATGAGAGGTTGTCTGCATGTTTGCACTTCTCTGGCAGCTCGCACCTTATGGAATGTCGTTTGACTGCCGTAACTAACAATTCTTTACATTATCATCAGTCCATCTGCCACTTGTTTGGTCTACTATAATCAGAACATGGTTTCGTAAGTCCTGTTACATTTTGTGGCAATGTGGCATCTTAAATGTAGTGTCTTTGTTTATTCACACTTCATCAACTGTAATTAAATAGTTCACTATCATTCAAGATAAAGAAAAAACAGTTCATCATACATATTAAGAAGCTGTAAGAAGGGAATATTTAGCATCATGCCTTTAAAAAAAATCTAGATTTCTTTTGATAATGTTTTGTATGGAAAAGCATCATTCTCCAGATTACATTGGCTAAAGCCAGTGTGAGGCATTCATAGGGTTTAGTCCTCCTTGTTTTTTGTTTTTTTTCTACTATCAAAACCACTTTAATTCCACTGTACATTCATGAGTTTAATGAATTATTTGTATATATTTTGCCAAAATACATCTTAAATACAATTTTTACCTCAATCAAATGATTTTTAGTACCTATTTCCACCGTGAGAAAAGGTCACTTTCACTTCACCTTTGCAGTGGGGTCAGTACTACTGAAAAGCAAAGGTTTTGAATTACTAGGATACATAGTTTACTATAAACCATAATCCCATACTTGAGCCATGTCCTAATATTGATGTTAAATGTCAGTTAAGTGATCATGCAAATGGGATTAGAAGTTAAGATCACACGGAAAATAATACTTTCAAGCTTACAGGGACTTGCTTTCTAGAGTAAATCAAAGCGGCCCCTGAAAATGTTTCTTTAGAATCCACCTCAACAGGATCATTACGGAGCCTCGTCACACTAGAAGCTCGGGTGTTAGCTTACGTGACAACCTTTTCACAACAACTGTCGTACGATAGAGACAGATATTGATAATTTATTTCATTTGAATTGTTTCCCAACAGAACTACTTTAATCAGGTGCCTGGTCTCACAAAGCAAATCTGAAGGGAGCTTTCGGGAAGGACCTGTTTCCTCTGATGTCTCATTTCTGTCTAGTACACAGTTTATCAAGATAACGCTTTAGTTTCATACTCAACAAAGGATAATAGTTCTCTGTTTGAACCAGTTATCTCTTTTGGGTTCGGCCTTGCATAAAAGCCTTTATCAAAGAACAACACTTGAACCTCTGAAATGTCTTTAAGCAGACTTTTAACTTTGAGGAATTAACTCTGACCTTTGTATGCGATATTCCTACAACTTAGAAAATCTTAAGCCTCTCAAACACAAAAAGAAGGAAGCTATAACTTTTAAAGGTCTCTAGAGTACATTTCCTATTCAGCTAGCGGTGCGATTACAGATCAGTCAAACTGCTGAATAATGCATTACCTTTGATGGATTAACATGATCAGAGATCTGTCAGCACTGCTCCTGGTTTATAAACACCACCCAAAGACCTCTGCCTCTATTCTAACAGTATTTCAAAGATCAACATCTAGAGGCACATTCACATAAGCTCTTTAACCCATATGTCTTCATCTGTTTCCCTGACACCCCTGCCCTCTCCCCCTTTCCCTTCCCCCTGCTCCCTCAGCTCTACCTAACCCTCTCTCCACACCCCTCCCCCCAGCCCGGGGCCTTTGCCTCCCCTAACCTCCATGTATTAGCTCCTGTTCCTTCCACTCTCCAACCCCCACCCCAGCACTTCCTTATCGATCGACTCACCTCTCTGCTTGATTCTGCTCCAGAAACCAGTTCAAGGGTCACCTCACTCATTGTGGGTTACTTGTAAATCCTGCATTGCATAGAGGTTTAAAGATGACTTGCTCTTATTGCAAAGTGTTCTTACTACTTGTTCATGAGATCATGAGACAACGTATTGTTCAGGATTTGCCTTCTATGGATTGTGTGGTCTTTTGTCTGTACTGTTTTCTAAGTCTAGTTGGTGTCAGCCAGACATTAGATAAGCTCTAATCTGTTTTCGCTACACCTCGTAAAAAAAACCTGAAAAGTAACGTTCCTCCTTCTGGCCTGTGAGACTACAACCAAAACATATCTTCACACAGAAGGCCCATCATCATTATTATTTTTGGTGACATGTTCCAAAATGAGGCAGTAAAGAATGAGAAACTCTTTTTAAATGTGTCCAAAATACCTAAAGGCTCCCTGAGAAATGTTGCTGTTTAAATCCACACGTTTTATTTGATGCACATGCTCAAACCGTGGGACGATGTTGTCATGCTATCCTGACAAGAATCCTAAACACAAGATGGGTCATGTGCTGATATGTTACAGGACATTTTTCACATGTTCACCCTTAAAACAATACTCGCATGACCATATGCACGTACATTGAATGCATCATGGGGCGCTGTAAATGTTCCTCATGTCCTTACTGGCTGCAAAAAGATCCCTTCCTAAATCAAACTCAGTACAAGTGATGGGGGAAACGTATTGAAGGTCAGTAGGACAGAAGGAACAAGAAATAGAGATCAATAATTATATTGAAGTACACACAGGCATGTGAGCATTGTTTTAGAATAGACTTTAGAAAATTTGAATATATCCTTTGAGAGATCTAGCACTTAAACCACCTCCGAATATACAGAATATGGAATTATTTTACAATAAATGTTTCAGTTTATTTAAAACAACTGTTGGGAATGTAAGCTAAAGTTTAGTTTTATTTAATATACTGGTGCCAGTGAGTGAAGTACATTTCCTTCAGTGACTTCCTGATCCTTTTTAAAACACTGTTATGTCTTTCTGTCTCACTTGCAGGTCTGGTCCAGCGATGTGTAATCATCCAGAAAGATGAAAATGGCTTTGGGCTCACTGTCAGCGGTGACAACCCAGTGTTTGTGCAGCTTGTCAAAGAAGGTACAGTCCCGAACATAAAAGGACGAAGAAAAATATGTTGTTACAATGACTACTTCTGGTCTAAGCGATCGCAATAGAGATGTGGACTCCACCTTCATGCACTGACATCAAACTGTCATGGCAGTTAGCTCTGAACTCACAGCTGTGAGGGGTAATTGGGACTCGGCAACCATCCCCACTCTGGCACTTACTTAGAGAAGTGAAGCCATTCCCTGTGTATTTCCTCCTCAGTAGTTTCACAGTAGCTGAAGCTTTATCATGTTGTCTTCTAAAGAGAAGACGTTGACAGGATACTTATGTGGGCCCCAGCAGTCTTTAACTGTCTGCAGAGGATGATGAGGGCTTTTATCAGGTCACAAAAAACATTACACCCAATGTAGTGGGAGAGAGAGAAGAGAAAGGAACTGATCAAGGACCTTTGTTGCACAGTCATCCATGCTTGGCAGTGTTAGACTATCCCTGTACGGCTCCCCGTTTGTGCTTCTGTCACTGACTCAACACAAAGAGCAGTCTACTTAGTTTCATCTGAATCATTTCTACCAACAAAGTAAACCAAATATCTGTAGCACTTGCTGCAGCTTCTCCAGTTAATACTTCTACTTTTAGTCCAAGTGATCAAACTAGATAATTTCCCTTATTTTAGTGACACCAGTTAAAACACTTGATAACACTCGGGGCCCAAAATGCACATTATAAGTAGTGTATTAGTAGAACTCAGCTGAGTGCTGCTGACTACAGAGTCAGACGTTGATCTCATAATAACCTGTCTCGTGCGTAGATCCCTTTGTTTTGGGTGGAGCTGTGAAACAGGTCCTTCTTATAATATAACCACTGTTATGGTCTCTCAAAATAGCACTCAAATAGTCACTTTGCGACATCTGCCCTGTCAGTGCTGGATGATGTATTCACTGCAGAAATATCAACAGTTGCATCATGAAGCATTATTATCCTGTGTGTCTTGTGTGTTATCCCCTCTATCCATTTCATTCTTTTAATGGTTCTACCCATCTTCTCCTTAACACTCTTTCTCCTGTGCTTGCCAGATGGGGCTGCTATGCGGGCCGGTGTTCAGACAGGAGACAGGATCATCAAGGTATTGTGTTCTCTGCCTCAATGTCTTTAAACTGCTAAAGTGACTGTTATTGTACAAGGCCAATGCAGAGGCTCTAGACTGCCACCCGCTGGTCTCTCAGTGTATACACTCTGGATGTCAAAGTGAAATCATAAGGTTTTGGAATTCGTTTTTTTGAATTCTCCTGATGGTACCATTGCTGTCTTCCAGGTTAACGGGACCCTTGTTACACATTCTAATCACATAGAGGTGGTTAAGCTAATCAAATGTAAGTATCTTTGTCTGTGTTTCAGCAAAAGCCACATTTAAATAAACCTTAAAGTAAAACTGACACTTTGCTTTGATTTCTTCATCCTAGCCGGCTCCTATGTGGCCCTCACAGTATTGGGGCGTCCTCCGGGGCTCGCCCAGATCCCCTTGTCTGAAGCAGAGTCTGAAATGTTGGGCGTTAGTATTTCCTCTCCAAACTCCCCAGCAACAGAACGCCCCTACAGTCCTCTGGACCGCCTCTCCTCCACCCAGTCACCATGGGTAACCATCAGTTACTTCTTTCACCCTATTTCTATCTCTTGCCTTCCTTCTTCATCCTCCTTCATCTTGGGGATTTTCACCTGGGTTATATTTCTCTTTCTTCCGGTGAATCTCTATAACCCATTCTTTCTTTCAAATGTTTTTTAAATCAAATCGGATTACCTTTATCAAAACATTTCTTAGATACTTATTCTAATGCTCAGTTCTTCCAAATGCTTTTTAACTTTCCTTTTTTTGTTTTTTCCCCAAAGGATGAAAATAGCAGCGTCTGCAACCAGAAGGTTGACATGCTGCAAAGGATGCTCTCCAAAGAGCAGCAGGAGCTGCAGGTTAGCATAACAATCACTGCCACTTACTGGCTTTCTTTATTGTGACACTGTTTTTCTTGGTAGGTGTTTGAAACAGCAAGGTGATTTTCATCCTTTCATATCCAACACCTATTGAGGAATGCTGTCTGGTATTATCTGTGTTGAAAATGAAAGACTCTGCTCTCATCCATCTTTAAATAGAACATTGCTTTGGGTAGGAGACAAGCAGTGTGTGTGATAAGACCGCTGTATTCATGCAGTGGACTGAGAATTGAGGCAGTGTTTTCCAAAACATCCCACGTTTATGACCAGAGCCCATATATGGCATATGTTTACCAACCTGATTGTTTACAAATAATGAGATTCTTCTGGTCCTGATGGCTTGTTGATTTCCATCATCTTGTTGTAAAGGCGATGAAGGAGGAGTACAGCAGGAACCCCTCCCCCAAACTACTGAAAGACATCCAGGAAGTTAAGAAGCACATTCCTCATCTGCATGGGCAGATCCTCAAGGCCAGTGGGGCATCACAGGTAAAGCCAATACCCCCCCGCTCTAACTACCTTCCTCCATGTACCTGCATACAGAAAAGAGTAGTTGGGGACAGTGATTAACCAGCAACATCCAGGCAGTATAATTTAGGGTAGTCCGTTTAGTGTTGGCTCCAGACAATCAATAATCCTAATCTTTTCAGAGGATTAGGCTTTCTCTGTGGGAAGCCACTATTTTGTGTCTGTGTGACAGCTTATTTTATTTACAGTAAACCTTGTGTTATGCATGTCAACATATGAGTCTACTCCCACCATTTTATTTATGCTTTATGAGATTACCACAAATTACTCATACATTTAAAACATTCAGTACTTATTACGAATGTAGCCTGATAGTCTTTAACATGTTTTACACTGGGCATTTTAAATCATGTTGTGTGTAATAAGGTTGTTCATAATAAATAACACATTCTGTGTTTACACAAATCCGTAGGAGGCTGTTCCAGGTGGTGATGCAGACGATGAGAGGGAGCACACTCCCGCCTCTAAGGGAGACTACAGCACAGAGCTGTCCTGGAGAAACTCTCCTGTAAGTCGTCAGCACCAGGGCTGTACCATTTGGAAAAATAACTAACTGCAATCATTATGACTGCTATTGAAATTGCGATATTATTCACAATATTTAAGGGGTTTAATCACGTCCGTGTCCTGATTCTCAATATCATTGAAAACGTACTATTGATTTTTTTTAGAGGATCTGCACCAAAAGCCTGTAGAATATTGTAGACCGGGACTTATCTGCAGCACCACAGTACTGCATTTTCCAATTTTGTTAACATTTAGATAAATAGTGCAGCCCTAGTCACCACTACTATCCAACATCATTTAAATGTATCACTGAACTTATCATGAAACGTTTGTTCAGAGACTAGTTAGCTTTAGGGCAATACATTCATGTCCTCATGCTAATTTAGATGAATCAATCTTTACTATCCCTGCTTAGCTTCGGTTATGATTTTTAGGAGAATCATTTTGATAATTTTACATTGATTCAGAATCTAATGCTGTGTTACATCCCTCCTCAGATATCTCGCATTTTCGGGCCTGGATCTCCAGAGAGTCTCTTCCAAAGAGGGTCATCCTGCCAAAGCCCCAAGAGCACCACCAGGAACAGCTTCAACTCCTGCCACTTCCCGGAGGCCGAGGACACCACTGACTTGGTAAATATACTAATTGACCAAGTGCAAATTCTGCGTAAGAAATTCACTTTTTCACTCTCTCTACTGGTGTAAATGTGTTATTTGCATTTTTTTCAGCGTGCATTATAGGGCTATTATTTTATGTTGATTAATAATTTATCTTAGAGCTACTAAACCCCACATTTAGTTGGGTTATCAATGTTTAAATGGAAATGTTTTCTTTTGAAAACACTAGTTCTACATGTGCTCCGACTTTTCCCCAGGACTCTCTGTCTCCTACCACAGTCAGCAGTCCCA